AAGGCTTTAATATATTTTGTAAGCCATTTTTTAGCTTCTTTTTGCGAATATGCGTCAATCTGTTTTTCTTTCTCATCCAAATCTTTGAGTTGCATAATCTTATGTGAAGGAGGCGGTTGATACCTGTCATCTTCATTGATAAAACGTGCATACATTGCAAGTGTACTACCTAAATAATAATTGATATCTATTTCCATTTTTTGCTCTTTTGCTATATCTGTATACTCTATATAATCGCCAACTCTATGCGCTATTAACCGGCCTTTCTTATTATGAAGGCAGGGGCCCTTCACAACTATATAACTAAACCATTTGCCGGGATTAGAAATCCTCTCACTTCTCTCTCTCATACGACCATAAAGCGAATGTTGCAAAGATTTTCTTTTTTTGGCTTCCATGTTCCTAATACAATAAATTCATTGAAATTCCATTCCTTATTTCGTGCTTCTCTGAGAGTGTCTTCAACAATTTCATGAATCATACGTGTATTGTCAATATTCATAGCCTCCTGCATAATCTTTTTTCTAATAAATCTAAAGAGTTTTGAATTCTCTTGCTTTACAGTATCAATCCCTCATATAAAGAGATTATCTGGCCTAAAATCGATATCCTTTTCATGTGGTACATCAAAGTATTTTTTCTTACCAGTAAAGCAAACGGGAAATAATACCTCCTCATATGCTATTTTTAGATAAGATGTGTTATTTTTTATTTTGAGATATTCATTGACTTGATCACGTAACTTTTTCATCACATCCATAGTAATTTTGACCATTTCAGTCCAGTATGCTTCTTTAGAAAGTTCTTTCTTGGAGAAGGCTTCATCGCATTTTTTATAATACTTAACTGGATAGGAGAGATACAAAGAATCAGTATCTCCGTATTTTATTCCAAACCCTTTTTTTGTTACGAATTCAGCGACAAGATTAAGGTTGTATTTTCCTGCTGAAGTAGTTCCTCCAGCTAATTCACGAAGAAAGATTGAAGATTTTGAGTTTCCTGCTTCCCCATAAAAAGTATTCATATATACCTTTAAAGCTTTTTGTTTCGAATCTAAATAATCATAATCGAAGCATATAGATGAGTATTCTAAATTTAATCTTTCTGGGATTTTTTTTACCTTTTTCTTTAACTGAATTTATCATTTTTCCAAGGCATTCCTTTTTCTTTTCTAATGAGGCAAGTTGTGCTTTAAGATTTACTCTTTTGTTGAATAAATCCTCTAATACAATAGGATATAAACCCTTCTTCTCAAATTGATTATCATGTTTTACACACCAAATATAGATAATACGGTTATTAAATGGGAACTCAATCTTATGCAAGTTATTTCCATTATTCTGCACAATATTAGCCTCATCCAGACTTAATATAATTTTTTCTGGAGAGAGGTTATAGATCATAATAAGGCTGGGATATAATGATGCAAAATCCAGACCCATTACTGGTCTTTCCATTTCTATACCTTTTTTAGGTGGAAAAACGTATACGCTAGGAAATTTCCCCTTTTCTATATTTTTACATACCCTTGTACTAAATACTATATCACGCTTAAAAGCATAAGCACCCAGAAGATTTCGTACTTTCAGCCCATTTGCAT